AAGCTTGAGTGCCCGGGACAGCTGAGAGGCTGTGCCCACGGGGGGCCCATGGGGAGTCCCCGGCACCAGCGCACCAGCCCCGGGGCTGCAGGAGGCCCAGCCGGGCCGGGCAAGGCTCGGAGCCCGCGGCGGGGCAGGGGAGCTGGGCCGCTGACAGGTGCAAAGGAACCGCCGGCTTTGCAATTCTCAGCTGCCAGCGGGCTGTGCGCGTCCCTCTGACGCCGGCGTCTCAGGCGGCTCCCGTTTCCCATCAACACGTCTGTCTGCGGCGTGAGGTGCGGCCTGCGCTCTTGTGACCCCCGGGCCGCAGTGAGAATGAGGGCCGGGCGCCCGCCTCCCTCCAAACGCCCGCCAGGGGCCGCCTGTTCAGCCGCCGAAGCTGCGGGCGCCCCTCCCGAGGCCCCCCGGGGGCAGCAGGCGCCCCCCAGGGCTCCGGGACCCCCTGCCACCCTCCGCCGGCCTCCGAGGTCCGAGCTGCCTGCGTCAGGGCAGGAGCGAGGACAGCAGACGCCGCCGGGGTCTGTGTCCGCGGAGTCCGGGAGCGGCGAGCGCTCTCCTGCCCCCGTGGGGCGGTGAGGCGTGGCAGGCCACGGGGGAGGGCTCGGCGTGGGGCCTGAGGGAGACGGAGCAGGGGACGCACGGCCTCTGGCATCGGAAGGGCCCCCGTAGCAGACTGTGGGGTATCTCCTCCCCCACCTTCTCCTCTGGCCTCAACCCCCCCCCCCCGCTCTCCACAGCGCCCCCCACCACCACCACCCTCTCCTCCTGTGGCTGCTCCCCGGCCCTCCTGCGGCCACTGGGCCCTGGCTCTGAGCTGGCTCCTCCACCCGCCTCGGGTCTGCCTCGGCCTCGGGGCTCAGGGAGAGGAGACGGTGTGGAGGCCCCTGCTCTCTGACCCCGGACTGTCCGGGGGGTCACCTGGGGGAGCGTCCGGCTGAGGACGCTCTCAGCTCCTTCCTCTGTGCATCCGTCACCGCTGGCGGCACTGGAATGGGCTCCGTCGCTAATTCTAAATCAAAGACGGATGCCCCGGCTGCCCGCGGCCTTTATTTGGAAATTTAATCTTGCTTCCAGGAGTCTAGGTGAGCTTACTGGATTCAGGCTTCCCTGCGGCGTCTCCTGGGGCCAGGGGCGTCCTCTTCTCTGTCCTCTCCGTCCTCCTTCCCGCCCTTCTCCCTGCCCTCCTCCCCTTCCTCCTCCCCGTCCCCTCCCCGTCCTCCTCCCCATCCTCCTCCCCATCCTCCTCCTTCCCGTCTTCCTTCCTGCCCTTCTCCCTGCCCTCCTCCCCGTCCCCCTCCCCGTCCCCCTCTCCGTCCTCCTCCCCTTCCTCCTCTCCTTCCTCCTCCCCTTCCTCTTCCCCATCCTCTTCCTCCTTCTCCCTGTCCTCCTCCCCGTCCTCCTCCCCTTCCTCCTTCCCTTCCTCCTCCCGTCCCCCTCCCCATCCCCCTCCCTGTCCTCCTCCCCGTCCCTCTCCCCATCCTCCTCCAGGTCCTCCTCCCCATCCTCCCGTGCTCTCCTCCTGCGCGTCCCATCAGGAAGCCACGTGGGGGCGGGCTCCCGGCCCAGCACGCCAGGCGGACACAGGCCGCCGGCAGCCGCTGACTGTGGGGCCTGGTGTCCAGGAGGCTCCCCAGGTCCCCACGACCCTGGGCCAGGCTGTCCACTGGGGCCCGCGTGTCCCACCAGGGCCCTCCCCCACCCGCCCTCGGGTTCCGTGGAGGCTCCGGGCCGTCCTGGGGGAGGGGGGTAACGTGAGCGCCCATCCCACGGGTCCGCGTCATCGGGGTGAGGAGCCGGAGCTCCGGCCCTGCCTCTGTGGTGCGGGCTGTGGGGTCCCGCTGCCCCTCTGGGTGAGGACGTGGGAGTGACCGAGAGGGCTCCCATCCACCGAGAGGCAGGGCTGGCTCCGCCCCCGACTCCTGCGCTGACATCCTAGCCCCGGGGTGTTCCTCAGCGGCCCTGAGGGCTGAATGAGATCACAGACGGGGGAGAGCTCCCCTCCCCAATGCACCCCGAGAAAGGCCACGGGCCCGCGGGATGCTGGCTGCCCCAGGCCAAGGGAAGGGGCCTCAGAGTGCAACCTTCCTGGCCACACCTTGACCTTGACCTTGACCTCCAGCACAGCGAGAAGCGCGGCCGGTGTCTGCCACTCTCCACCTCTCCCTCCCTCCCTCCCAGCCCTCCCTGCCTTTCCCGGAGCACTGCCGCCATCTGCTGGTCAGTCTCAGGATAGCAGGCAAGACCCAGGCCTCAGAGGCTCCAAGGCCTGGGTGGGACCCCCCCCAACCTCTACCCCCCACCCCGCCAGCACTGCCACACCTACACACACACACCACACATACACACACACACAGACACACACACACAGACACACACACAAACTCACACACACACACACTCACACACACAGACACACACACACACACACTCACACACACACCACACACTCACACCACACACACACTCACACACACACACTCACACACACACACACTCACACACACACACACACACACACACACACTCACACACACAGACACACACACACACTCACACACACACACACTCACACACACAGACACACACACACACTCACACACACACACTCACACACACACACACACACACACACACACACCACACACACACACCACAAACACACACACACACAGACACCACAAACACACTCACACTCACACACACACTCTCACACACACAAACACACACACACACACACTCACACATACACACACTCACACACACTCACACACAGCACACCACACACCCACACACACACACACACTCACACACACACACTCACACATACACACACTCACACACACACACAGCACACCACACACCCACACACACACACACACACACACACTCACACACAGCACACCACACACACACACACCCACACACACTCACACACACACACACACACACTCACACACACACACACACACACACACTCACACACACACACACACACTCACACACACACTCACACTCACACACACACACACACACTCACACACACACTCACACACACACACACTCACACACACACACACACACACACACACACACACACGGCGGGTCCCCTTGCTTCCCTCCGGCTCCCTGACTCCCTCCCGCCTCCAGATGCCGGGCTGGCCTCCGCCTCCTCGCCACCCTGCCCTCAGCCCTGCGGCCGCACCGCGCACGGACAGGGTTTCCCTCGCCAGCGCCCCCCCCCCCCCCCCGCCCCCGGGCCGGGGCCTGACCCTCGGGCTCCCAGCCGGTGAACCGGGTGAGAACCTCCTTTCCCAGCTCAGAGGCCTGGCCTGTCTCCACCCTGGTACGGCCGTCAGAGTCAGAGTCTTCAGGGACAGGCAGGGGCAGAGCCGGTGACGCGGGCCCACCGGGCCGAGGCAGCCTGGCACGCAGCCTCCTCTGCCGGGCAGGTCTAGCCCAGTCCAGCCAGGTCCTGTGTTTATTAAACAGTTCTGAGCTCCGGATCTTGTTTTTATGTTTTCACTGGAGGCCCAGTGCTCAGGCAGGCTCCCTCGGCCTGGCGGGCGATCAGGGCCAGTCGGGGCCTTCTGGCTGCTGGCCTGGGCCTTCCCTTGTTCCACACTGTCCCCTGGGGGTCAGCACACGTCATAGCGAGCAATCCAACTCCCGAGGGGACACTTTGCACATTAGCCTTTTTTATATATAACGTTTCAGAGAGAGGAGGGGAGAGGGAGGGAGAGATAGAAACATCAATGATGAGAGAGCATCATCTATTGGCTGCCTCCTGCACGCCCCCAGCCCGCAACCCGGGCCCGTGCCCTGACCCGGAATCGAACTGTGACCTCTCGGTTCATAGGTCACTACTCAACCACAGAGCCACGCCGGCCGGGCTGACCCTGGATGTTTTAAGAGATGACGTGCTCTCATTTCTAAAACACTGTGCAGGCTGCATCAAACAGCGCCCGTGGGCCAAACACCACCCGCCCCAGGCCCCAGCCCCCGAGGGGTCCCAGTCCCTGAGGAGATAAAACCCAAGACTGACAGGGAGGGCAAGGCCGAGTCCCAGGGTCCCAGCCAGGGACGCAGAGCCAGGGGGCAGCGCCTGGGCCTCCCGCCTTGGGCCCGGTGCCTGGCAGGGCAGCCGGAGGCCGCCCGGGCCCCGCGGAGCAGGGTACGGAGGGCTTTGCAGGAGGGGGGGGCGCAGGCTCCGAATATGCGGGCACGGCCCTGCCTGCGGGACGGGGCCCGTGCTGCCCGTGGGCCATGGACCCGCCCCGGGACCCTTCCTCGCTGATGAGGGGGGTCTGTGTCACATGCCCCCTGAGGACGGCAGGGACCCCGAGTGAGAGAACCCCAGAAAGGAGGACAGAGTAAACAGGACACCCCGCCCCCGCCCCGTCTGTGGGAACCGAACCACGCGGCACTCGTGGAAAACCCCGTGGATCCCCGTCAGAGCACATGCCCCGGGCCCCTCAGAAAGCAGCCCCGCTCCTGTCACACCCCCTCCCCGTGTGAATCCCGTTGTTGCTTCCCTTTGGGCCCCCTCTCCTTCCCGTGTGAGGCAACAGGTGGGTGCCAAGGTCCCGCCCGGCCGGCCGCTGCCCGCTCCCCGGCTCCGTCCCTCCCTGGCCGCCTGGCCTGGCCGCCCGCGTCCCTCCCATGTGCCCGCGTCCATCCTGCCACAGGCCCTTTGCACCTGCTCCTCCGTCAGGGCCGGAGCCTGTGGGGCCAGCCCGCCCCGTCCGGCTCTCCCGTGGCCGGCTTCAGAGACCACAGACCCTCCCCCGTGCCCCCGCCCCTGTGGCCTCAGATTGCTGCTCTGACAGCCCAGTGTGACCTCACAATCCCCTCCGGCCCGCCCACCCTGAGGCCACCCTCCCTGCGCCGGGCCTGACTCTGCCCTCCCTGCCCACGCCCAAAGCCAGGCCGACCCCGGGGACACCAGGCGAGCAGCGAGGGACGGGGCTCCCGTGGGCGGGATGCAGGGCCTCAGCACCATCATGCAGGAGAGCGCCGACGGCCTGAAGGACCTCATGCCCACGGAGCGCAAGTCCATGTGGCGGACGGCCGACGAGAGGCGCATGTCGGACCTCACGCGGGTGATGGAGTGGCTGGAGCGGCGGCGCGGGAGGAAGGTGTCGCTGGCGCAGAAACAGGCGCCGCCGGCCCCGCCCCCGCCCCCGCCCCCGCCGCCGGCGCGCAAGGTGTGCCCGCGGGGCCTGCCAGGGAGCTTGGCGCCCGCCTGTCCCCGACGGGGGTGGACGGGGCGGGCTGGGGGGGGGGGCGGGAGGAGCTTTCAGCCCGGGAGGGGGGGATGTGTGTGTGGGGGATGGGGGAGGGGATGTGGGGGGAGATGTGAGGGGATGGGGGAGGGGGTGTGGAGGGGATGTGGGGGAGATGTGAGGGGATGTGGGGGGATGTGGGGGGGATGTGGGGGGATGTGAGGGGATGTGGGGGGTGGGGGGGTGGGGGGGATGGGGGGGATGGGGTGGTGTGGGGGTGTGTGGAGGGGATGTGGGGGGATGTGGGGGGGATGTGGGGGGGATGTGGGGGGGATGTGGGGGGATGTGGAGGGGATGTGGGGGGGGTGGGGGGATGTGGAGGGGATGTGGGGGGGGTGGGGGGATGTGGAGGGGATGTGGGGGGGGTGGGGGGATGTGGAGGGGATGTGGGGGGGGGTGGGGGGATGTGGAGGGATGTGGGGGGATGTGGGGGGATGTGGGGGGATGTGGGGGGGATGTGGGGGGGTGTGGGGGGGTGTGGGGGGATGTGGGGGGATGTGGGGGGGGATGTGGGGGGATGTGGGGGGAATGTGGAGGGATGTGGGGGAGATGGGGGGGATGGGGGAGGGAGGGGAGGTGAGGGGAATGTGGAGGGATGTGGGGGGATGTGGGGGGAGGTGGGGGGAGGTGGGGGGGATGTGGGGGGTGTGGGGGGGTGTGGGGGGTGGGGGGATGTGGGGGGGATGTGGGGGGGGTAGGGGACATCAGAGCCGGTTTGGAGAGCAGGTCGCTGTGGCCCTGATGGGCGCCCGTAGCTGGCGATGACGCAGGGATGGAGGCGGAGGCAGGGGCGCTGTCTGTCTGGGTGAACTTCTCAAAGGCTTAGGAGGCGGGCACTGGAGGCCCCGGTGGGTGTCTGAGGCCGTAAGGGGGCGGGAGGGGGGGGCGGGCCAGCACCACGGAGGGGAGGGGGTGTGGGCACGGCTGTCTCTCTGCCCCCCAGAAAGTCAACAAGACGCCATGGGCGCCCGTGAGAACCCTGGGCAAGGAGACCAAGAAAGCCAAGGCCTCCGTGAAGAAGGCGAAGGAGAAAGCCCGCCAAGTGACCTTTGAGCAGGTAGCGGGCCTCGCCCGCCCCCAAAGCCCTCACGGCTACCCCTGCCCCCACCCCGACCTCTCCGTGACCCCCGAGGCCGCTCAGGGCGGCGGGGAACGGACGGAGCCCCCAAGATAGAGCCCAGAGCCCCACCCCGGGCTGTGGTTTCCAGGGACCTCACGGCTACCCCTGTCCCCCACCCCTCCCCAACCCCCTCGCCGACCTCTGTGACCCCCGCCTCCCTCAGGGGGGCGGGGACCGGACCGAGCCCCTAGCCCAGCCCTTCTTCCCTCCAGCACCCCTCCCTCCAGGGGTCCTCCCTCCTGGGGCCCTCCCTCCAGGGGTCCTCCCTCCAGGGGCCCTCCCTCCAGGGGCCCTCCCTCCAGCCCAAGCTGAGCCGGCCCGAGGACGCGGCCTCCTACCGCCGGCTGTACGGCGTGGAGCCCAAGGGGAAGCGCCTGAGCATCGTGCCCGGCAGCTACACCAAGGAGAGCCTCGGCAAAACCGGTGAGCCGGCGGCCACCCAAGCCCCTGGGCCGCCCGCCCGAGGCCTCGCCTGGCCCGAGAGAGGCCTCGGCCGCGTCCCCCAGCGAGTGAGGGGCGGGCAGCCGCAGGGGGGAGCGGAGCCCGGGCCGTGCGGCTCAGTGGTTACGGCCCCGGCCCTCGGGCCCGAGAGTCTCGGGTTCGAGGGTGGGTCCAGGCCTTGTGGGTTCGCTCCTCGTGTGCGGGAGGCAGTCAGTTGTGTCTCTATCGCATCGGTGTTCCTCTCTCTCTCTCTCTCTCTCTCTCTCCCTCTCTCCCTCCCCCTCCCTCATTCCCACCTCCCTCCTCCCTCCCTCCCTTTCACTCTCTCTAAAAATCAATGGAAAACATACCTTCGGGGGAGGATTAAAAACACTCGACGGGACCATATAAAAATAGATATAAAAACAGACGTAAGCGGAGGTGCCAAACGGGGCATCACTGGTTTAACATAAAAACTGGAGCCCAGGGCTGTCGGGGAACCGGAACCCGGGAAGGACCAGCGAAGAAGGGAGAGCGAGCGCAGGGATGCGGGCGGGAGGGCCAGCGCCCACAGGGGGCGAGGGGCCGCGGGCACAGACGCGCGGGAACGCGAGAAGGGTCGCTCAGACACGCCCCGCGGGGGGGGCGCTTCGGGGTGCCCCGGGGAGGAAACCTCCCGGCCCCGGCGCCCCGTGCTCGCTGACGAGGAGCAACAGGGCGGTTCCACCTGGTCTCCGGAGCCGCCACAGACCGCGGCCCGGACGCGAGGGGTGCGGCCTTCACCCTACAAGCGCCCGGTCCCCACCGTCAGACAGGACGCAGCCGGAGCCGCCGCGCAGGAGCCCAGAGCCGGAGGGTAAAAGCTCCGGCACAGACTCCGCGCGAATGGCCCACCGCCCGCCGGGGGCAGCCGGCAGGTTGGGACGGGCCAGGCCCGTGGTCGGCAAACCCCTCCGTCCGCAGAGCCGACTATCAACGGCACGACGGTGGCCACGTCTTCGGAGAGCCACACTGTTTAAACGTCAACTCCTTCCAACGCCACTTCAACACACACTCGCCCGGCCGTGGCGTTTTGTGGAAGAGCCGCACTCCAGGGGCCAAAGAGCCGCAGGCGGCTCTCGAGCCGCGGTTTGCCGGCCACGGGGCGAGGGTATCCATAGCCACATATCTGATAGCTCCGTGGATGGCATCAGCATGTGACAGGGAAAAGCGTCTGATCGCTGACGATACAAAATCGATAGAAAATCAATGAGCACAAGCGACGGGGCCTGAGCCGCCCGCAGTGTGGAGCGGACGGAGCTGGTGGGAGAAGCTGGGAGGAGGATCTGGGGGGAGGAGCTGGGAGGAGGAGCTGGGGGGAGGAGCTGGGGGGAGGAGCTGGGAGGAGCTGGGGGGAGGAGCTGGGAGGAAGAGCTGGGAGGAAAAGCTGGGGGGAGAAGTTGGGAGGAGGAGCTGGGAGGAGTACTGGGGGGAGGAGCTGGGAGGAGGAGCTGGGGGGAGGAGCTGGGGGGAGGAGCTGGGGGGAGGAGCTGGGAGGAGTACTGGGGGGAGGAGCTGGGAGGAGGAGCTGGGAGGAGGAGCTGGGGGGAGGAGCTGGGGGAGGAGCTGGGGGAGGAGCTGGGGGGAGGAGCTGGGAGGAGCTGGGGGGAGGAGCTGGGGGGAGGAGCTGGGAGGAAGAGCTGGGAGGAAAAGCTGGGGGGAGAAGTTGGGAGGAGGAGCTGGGAGGAGTACTGGGGGGAGGAGCTGGGGGGAGGAGCTGGGGGGAGGGAGCTGGGGGGAGGAGCTGGGAGGAGTACTGGGGGGAGGAGCTGGGAGGAGGAGCTGGGGGGAGGAGCTGGGAGGAGGAGCAGGGGGAAGGAGCTGGGGGGAGGAGCTGGGGGGAGGAGCTGGGGGAGGAGCTGGGGGGAGGAGCTGGGGGAGGAGCTGGGGGAGGAGCTGGGGGGAGGAGCTGGGAGGAGGAGCTGGGAAGAGGAGGAGCTGGGAGGAGGAGCTGGGAGGAGGAGGAGCTGGGGGAGGAGCTGGGGGAGGAGCTGGGAGGAGGAGCTGGGGGAGGAGCTGGGGGAGGAGCTGGGGGAGGGGCTGGGGGAGGAGCAGGGGGGAGGAGCTGGGGGAGGAGCTGGGGGGAGGAGCAGGGGGGAGGAGCTGGGGGGAGGAGCTGGGAGGAGGAGCTGGGGGAGGAGCTGGGAGGAGGAGCTGGGGGAGGAGCTGGGGGGAGGAGCTGGGGGGAGGAGCTGGGAGGAGGAGCTGGGGGAGGAGCTGGGGGGAGGAGCTGGGGGGAGGAGCTGGGAGGAGGAGCTGGAGGAGGAGCTGGGGGGAGGAGCTGGGGGGAGGAGCTGGGAGGAGGAGCTGGGGGAGGAGCTGGGGGGAGGAGCTGGGAGGAGGAGCTGGGGGAGGAGCTGGGGGGAGGAGCTGGGAGGAGGAGATGGGGGAGGAGCTGGGGGGAGGAGCTGGGGGGAGGAGCTGGGAGGAAAAGCTGGGGGAGGAGCTGGGGGAGGAGCTGGGGGGAGGAGCTGGGGGGAGGAGCTGTGGGAGGAGCTGGGGGGAGGAGCTGGGGGGAGGAGCTGGGGGAGGAGCTGGGGGAGGAGCTGGGGGAGGAGCTGGGGGAGGAGCTGGGGGGAGGAGCTGGGGGAGGAGCTGGGGGGAGGAGCTGGGGGGAGGAGATGGATTCCCAAAGAGCGGCTGGGTGTCTCTCCGGGAAGGAGGGCTACGCCGCCCTTTTCAGGAAAATCAGGCACAGAAGCAGGTGTGACTGCACGGTCAGTATTTTTTTTTAATATCTTTTTATTGATTTCAGACAGGAAGGGAGAGGGAGAGAGATGCACCAGTGATGAGAGAGAATCATGGCCCGGCTGCCTCCTGCACGCCCCCTGCTG